AGACCCCCCCAGCCAATATGTTGACAACCAGTAAAAAGAAAACAAGGCAGATACCCCCCGCAAAAACTACAGGAATATCCGGCTTAATTTAATTTCAATACCCCTGCAGCCAAAAACAGATTCAGATACAGATATAGATAAAGATATAGATGATATAGATATAGATATCTGCCATGGAAGATTTGCTATTTTGGAACATAGTAAATACTTTCATAATGATGACATTTAAGAAAACCTTAGACTGTGCTCTGTAGATCCTACTTTACAGTAACATGAGGAACTATGCCAACCTTATTAATTTCCATAAAATTATAAACCAAAAACATTGTTTGGGCCAGCAGGTAGTTTGGAGTTTAAGGCAGCTAGATCCCATATGGCCAACTGCGTGATTCGAATCTTGGACCCAGCAGCTTGAAAAACACACCAGGTACATGTGTGTGTGCCCCATATTCCCTAAGAAGAGAAGGGAAAAGAGGAGACTGTGGCATGGCCATCCCCAATGACAGGTGATTTCTCACTTTCTATTTTTCTCTCTCTCTTTCTCCAGTGACCACATGTACCCTATACAGAAAAACAAATAAAAAGCTAAAAATATTATTTGTTTAATGGGATAAGTAATTAGCTAAAAAATTTAGTTACATGGAACACCCAGTGTCTAATGACCAGAACAGTTACCTTTTTTGGATTTTGTTCTGAGGTTCCATTATGTTTGACATCCCATACTAAGTCTTTTATACATAGCTTTTCTGCTAATCCTCTCAACAAGTCTGTAATGAAAATATAAGCCTTTCTATTTTCCAGTATAGAAAACTAAGGGTAGGAACCAGCAGTTGGCATAATGGCTATGTCGCTGAACTCCTATGTATCAACTACGGTTTGAGTCCCAGACCTGGTGGCTAAAACTCACGCTAGGCGTGTGTGCTTACATGCCCAAGATCCTGAGTGGAGAATGGAGGAGAAGGGATTGTGGTGTGGCCATCCCCCTGGGAGGTGATTTCTTGTTTTCTGTCTCTCTGTCTTCCTGTCTCTCTGGCGAGTGCATGCGCCCTATTGCAAAATCCTCTACCAAAAAAAAAAAAAAAAAAGAAGAAGAAAACTAAGGGTAAATATATGTCCTAGTCATAAAACTAGAAAGTAACCCAGCCTTGGTAGCATGCACTGGTAGGCACTGCTACTGAGTACTACTGAGTAGGAGTGGTCATGTGGGAGGCCTGGGATTGATTATCAGACAACCCAGAAGTCAGGACAGAGGAGTGCCCCCATAGAGTCCTAGCTACTTGGTAGGCTAAGGCAGGAGGATCAAGACATAGGGAGAACCTATTTTTTTTTTTTTCTTTCCTTTTCTTGTCAGAGAGTCCATGTGTTTACCAGAGACAGAGTCAAAGGGAGAAGAGAAAGCACTCCCCATGAGGAATGGTCATGTCACAATCACTTCTCTTCCATTTCTCCCTTCTTCTGAGATTTTGGGCACACATACATGTGTGCCCAGTGTGTTGCTCAAGCCACTGGATCCAGGATTCAAATCATGGGGTTGGTCATGAGGGATCTGACTGCCTTAACCACCAGGTCATGAAGCTGGCCAAGGGAGAACCCATCTTCAAAAAGACATGGTAGTGGGACCAGCAGTTAGCGTAATGGATATGTCACTGAACTCCCATGTAGTCGACCGCGGTTCAAGTCCTGGACCCGATGACTTAAACTCATGCTGGGCACTTGTGTGTGCATGCCCAAGATCCCAAGAGGAAAATGGAGAGAAGGGATTGTGGTGTGCCCATCCCTCCAAGGGGTGATTTCTTGCTTTCTGTCTCTCTCGTTCTTTCTGGCGAGCGCACATGCCCTATAGCAAAAAACAAAAAAAACTTCTTAAAAAAAAATAAAGACATGGTAGCTGGGATTCAAACTCAGTTGTATGACTACAAATCAGGTACTACGCCTATTATAACTAGTCACCTACATCAGACTAATACATTCAGGGAAACAGAACCACAACTATAAGAACCATAAAAACCACCTTCTGTGGGAAAATGCAGCTTCATAAAGGACAAAAGAATTCAGCATGGATTCCCAAAGTCATGAATCTAGAATCTGAAACACTGTACATCTGTCAACCCCCACACACCTTTTTCTTTCTTTCTTCCTTCTTTTTTTAAAAAGGTTTTTGCCATAGGGTATGTACACTCCCACAACCCCTTCTTCTTCATTCTTCTCTAAGGATTTCAGGCCAATAAACACACACACACACACACACACACACACACACACGCACGCACATCTGGTGTGCTTTTCAAGCTGCCAGGTCTGGGACTCAAACAATGGTTGGCTGTGTGGGGAATCCAGTGCCTTAACCACCACCCCACCCCCCGCCTTTTTTAATGCTAAAGGGGATATGTATAAGAGAAAGAGTAAATGCAAAAGGGTGAGAAAAGTCCCTCATAGGGGCTTGGCCACATCACAATCGTTTTCCTCCAGTTATACATTCTGTCAGGATCCTGGGCATGCAATCCCAGACCCTGTGTGTTTTTCAAATCGACAGGGCCAGGATTCAAACCCTGATTGGCCATGCGGGATCCATCTTCCTCTATATGGCACCTAACCACTGCACTGTGGGACAGGACCTTGCATCCTTTTTAAACTCACTCTCTTTCCTTACTATAGGTCAAAAGACTGAACACCTGTTTGTGATAGTCAAATAATTCAATACTATCAATGATGCATTCATACAATAGAATGAATTTGAGTTACTTTTAACCTCTACTAACTCTCATTTTTTTTTGGTACCTTTTATCCTTCAATCAGTAAATAATGTTTATTCCATTATATTGCAAGAAGCGTGGAACATTCCAATTAGTATGGGTGATGTAAATGAAACAAAGCAAATTAGTAAGAAAACATCAAAATTCAGATGTCACAGTGCAAATTCAACTTCTGACAGAGTGCTATCACTCGGATGCCACCATTTTTAGTTTTTTTTTTTTTTTTTTTTAAGCTCTGTATCAGAAAGTTACTTTTCAGGTGTACTTCTCTGGTAAGAAGCAAAAGAGTATTTTAGGCTAGAAATACAAGTTAGCCATATGAAACCATATGACCAATTAGAACTAGACAGTATTTTACTTTTGGTTTATGTCAAATTCCAACTTACCATATTTGTGCTAAAACAGGCTGAGGTAACCCAGATTGAAAAAAAAAGGTTCTAGCTTGATCACCTGTAAAGTAAATAGAAAAAGTTTCAGGAAAAAAAACAACAGCTGACAGAAATCTTATAACAAAATTATCAGAAAGAGAGGGAAAGAATCTGGTAACTTATAAATACTGAATTGAACACATGATAAAAGTTCAATGGGAAGCCCATAAGCAAGAGTAAAATGAAGCCATCTTCACTGACTACTTTTAAAAATCATGTAAAAATGGGAACCAGCAGTTAGCATAATGGCTATGTCGCTGGACTCCCATGTAGTTGACTGCGGTTCACATCCCGGACCCGGTGGCTTAAAACTCACGCCAGGCGCATGTGCGTGCGTGCCCAAGATCCCGAGAGGAGAATGGAGGAGAAGGGACTGCGGTGTGACCATCCCCCCTGGGGGGTGATTTCTCGCTTTCTGTCTCTATGTCTCTCTCTGTCTGTCTGGCGAATGCACACACCCTACAGCGAAAACCTCTCAAAAAAAATAAAAAATCATGTAAAAATGACCTACCATTTGTTTGGATAGATTCCTACTTTAATGGAGCCGTTAACAGAGATGTTAAGCTACCTATTATGCTTCAGTGTATCTACAGGAATCCTTAGAAGAACTATACTTCTAGTTTATAAATGACTTCTTTGTCACTATCAACACTTACACTCCAAATATTGGATACTTCCAATATATTTATGGAGAATAAATAACGATGAAGCAAATTATATCAATGACAAAAATTAACAAAGGGAACTATGATACAAATGCATATAAAAGCAATTTCCCAGGAAATCTGGATCTAATTTTTTTCTCAAGTGAATTCCTGAAGTACAATCAAACAGGAGAGATCATAGAAAAAGCCAAGAACAGGGACCAGCATAATGGTTACACTGCTAGACTCCCACGTAGTCAGCCATGACTCAAATCCCAGGCCCGGCGGCTTAAAACTCACGCTGGGTGCATGTGTGTGTGCCCAAAATCCTAAGAGGAGACTGGAGCAGGAACTGTGGCATAGCCATCTCCCCTGGAGGATGATTTCTCGCTTTGTCTCTCTGTCTCTCTGGTGAGCACACACCCTACAGCAAAAAACAAACAAACAAACAAAAAAACACTCTCTTTAAAAAAAAAGCCCACACAAAAGGTACTTTAGGGAGACAACAATAAAACAAAATCTTTTTTTTTTAAACATTCAGAATCTGTTAATTTATTGAACAATTTCCCAAACCAATTCAAGATCAGAAGTAAGCAACTGATTTAAAAGTTAATTCCGTATCACTTAAAGAATGTGGTCTGATCTTAACCAGTTCCCCACAGTGATATGCTCAAAACAACTGGCTTGACATGCACTAAGGATAGCAGCCAATATTTAAATGCATTACGTGAAAAAAAATTGTAAAAATGCAGGATTAAGGTTATACCACAACAGGTAAATTGTCCTTTTGGTCACAGGTGCCCACTTCCGCTTTGCATAATAGATTTTCCTCAGATATGCAACAATGACAAGTAAAAAAGTAAAAACACTGAACTCCACTTACCAGTAATAAATCCAGATATTGGCTTTAAACTATGGAACTGCTGATCATGCTTCGCTCTTTCCTCTACAGTTATGGCCCAGATATCCAGGCTGCCTATAATCCAAAGTAAAGACACCCAAATGATCAGTGAGAAAAGACAAAATGCTCATACATATACTATTATCCTTAGGACTTTTTAAGAGTCTATCAGCATATCATAAATGATTTGATAAATTAACATCAATTTGTCCTTGAAAGTTATGCATTTAAAGTTGGAAAATTAATGGGGCACATAGAAAGCCTGAAGGATATCATAATCATTTTTTACAGGATGAAAATTAAGAAAGACTGTGTATGAAAGCCTGCATAGTTATTTTTATCCATTTCATCTTTAAATTTTCCTTCTTTTTTTAAATGAATGCTACTTTCAGCTAATGCATTTGGTTCTACTGAGTATTCAGTCACCAGAAAACTTTAAATAAAAAGTTCTGCCTACATTTTAAAATTATTATCAATTAAGTATCTGTTTGGGATTATACTGAAATATTAATTGCTTAAGATCTCCAAGCCAAAAGTATCATGTTAAAACTTTTACCTAAAAGAATTTGTATGTGAGTGTTAATAGACAATACATACAAGGTGGGGCCAACAGGTGGGCGGCATGGTGGTTAAGGTACTGGAAACTCCCACATGGCCAATCATGGCTTGAGTTCCAGACTTGGTGGCTTGCTTTCTCACTTTCTCTCTCTCTCTCTCTCTCTCTCTCTCTCTCTCTCTGGGTGTGTGTGTCTGTGTGTGTGTGTCTAGTCAAATTAAAATAAATGAATGAATAAATAAATAAATAAACAATTCTTAAAAAAATAAAGAAAATACATATAATGCAAAATAAAGTGTAAGGTAGCTCAAAGCAAAAAGCCACAATTTGTCATGGTGCTTAGTCTTTGTAAGGGCACTTCATGGTTTCGCTTGCCCCAACTGCCATTAAATGAGGACAGATCAGTTTAAGATATGTTAATTTGACTCATTATATGACTCAAGATGAGTTCTATAATTTCATTGAAAATTCTAGCCTAAAATTATTTGCTTTAGCTTCTGGTTAGCATTGATTAAAATGCGAATAGTGAAGTGGCTATCCTACCCTTGGTTTATCTTTTTTTTTGCTATACAATGCATGCACTCGCCAGAAAGACAGAGACAGACAGAGAGACAGAAAGCGAGAAATAATACCCCCCACCCCCACCCCGGGTAGATGGCCATGCCACAATCCCTTCTCCTCCATTCTCCTCTAGAGATTTTGGGCATGCCCACATACATGCCCGGTGTGAGTTTAAGCCCCCGGGTCCAGAACTTGAACCATGGTCGACTACATGGGAGTCCAGTGACATAGCCAATGTGCCAACTGCTGGTCCCAGTAAATGCCATTCTTATCTAGTAGTATTCTAATTGTATCCAGAAAACTGTATTAATTAAAATTTTACTAGATTAATTTTTGTTTTTTGTTTTTTGCTCATGCATGTATCCTTATAATTTAAGGTTTTTGTCTCTGTGACTTTTAGAAATAAATTTAAAAATAAAAAAGTTAAGAAATTAAGAGTAAAGCAAAAAAGAGAGAAAGAAGAGGGGAAGGAAGAGAGAAAAGGTGAATGAGTGCAAATTCATTTACAAGTATGTACTATAACATTATAATGAGCAGGACAGACAAAGACAGGACATGTTAGTAATTTAAGCAAAATTAAGTTAATGTAAACTTCAAACTGTACTCTTTGGCGCCTTAAATGCCAGAGGTAAAAGTCATGAAACATGAACCGCACAATTATTATTCCAAGATAATCTGGGGTGATAAAAATACTCAAACACTGGACTGTGGTTATGGCTGTACAACTCTGCAAATTTACTATAAAAAAAAATCACTGAATACGGTTAAAACTAGTAAATTTTATGATATGTAAATTAAACCATAAAAAGGAGAAGGAAAAAAACCTCACTAAAGCTGGTTTTAAGATAGGTATTCTCATTTAAGAAAAAATAAAGCCAACCAAAGAGAATGGAATTCAGGTTCTCCTTCATGTCAGCTCTTAGACTGACCACATGTCCCCTCACTACTGAGTCTTCCTCATGCTGGCCTTAGATCTCCTCAACAAACCCACTAAAGTAACTATACAATACATACATGGAAAGCTTTTAAAAGTATAGATACTTTCGGGAACCAGCAGTTAGTGTAATGGCTATGTCGCTGGACTCCCACGTAGTCGACCGCGGTTCGCGTCCCAGACCCGGTGGCTTAAAACTCACACCGGGCGCATGTGCGTGCGTGCCCAAGATCCCGAGAGGAGAATGGATTACGGCGTGACCATCCCCCCTGGGGGGTGATTTCTCGCTTTCTGTCTCTATGTCTCTCTCTGTCTGTCTGGCGAGCACACGCGCCCTATAGTGGAAACCTCTCCAAAAAAAAAAAAAAAAAAAAAAAAGAAAAAAAATTTCCAAA